GTTCGTGGAACTATTTACGAAAAATTATCTGCGTGATGTAAGCGTGCAGGGTTGGAACTTCGCATTTCACGTGAAGTTCAGATTTCGTAATCGGCCGACTGACTACGCAGTTTTCTGCCGTATTTTTAGGACCTGGGAGTGGAATTTCCCCGAAGATTGGACGATCTCCGAACTCTTATCGCACAATTTTTTCGGCGAAAAACAAATTTACCAAGACGACGCATTTGTATGAACGGATCAGTAATCCTGATGCGTGAGGCGCACCAAAGTACCACGAAAACTGCAGATGAGTGTGGGAAGCTGCGAGCCACGATCTTCCCACTGGCTTTGTCAGTATTTGCCCCAGACACTGACGACGACCACGAGACTACATCAGGGAGGAGGTTTGAACCCGGGACCTCCGCACCGCGAGGCAAGAGTGCCAGTCACTCGGCGGCAGTGACGTTCGTCAACCGTGTGTTTAAATTTAGACCATGACTGAAGAGTCGATTCTTATGTAATCGCTGATCTCGAAAGCTCTAGGTTAAAGTGTGTGCCGGCATATTTGCTTAAATTACAATGATATCAGTTTATCGTAATAACTGTTGCAATTCGTGTCCAAGGCTGCACGTGCTGTGGTCACGTGGACAAGTTATCAACAGCTCAACGGCACCGAAAACAGAACGTCGTTGATTAAACAGAACAAATCAGGACTTTACGTATTTTTGCTTGTAGCCTAACTTTAACGTAGCTTGAAGGTGACGCCCTGATGATGGTGGCAGCAAGCACCTCTGAAACGTCGGCAAACTTCTTCTATCGGTTTATACGGTGCTACTCGCTTCCGTGAGAACGTGAAATTTCTCATTTGACTCGTTTCTGGAAGGCGACCGAGTGCTTCTGATGTCTCCTTAACATTCATCACAACCTTCTAGTGTCATTCGCGTGCTCTGTCCATCTAACAGATCTGTAAGTTGTCCCATTATGTGAGAAAAGTAATGCAAAATCTTTGTCCAAGGAAGCTAAAATAAATCAACCGATTGCATTTGCTTCTGTTCATGAGTTTACTCAGTCACTTCCTTCAGTAATCTCCACAAGTGTACAGTCTCCTTAATTCAAGCCCATTACATGATCTTCCGAAGTTATAATAAACAGGTAAATAAATTGTTTACGTAACCTTTTAAAGTCGAAGCTGTCCTAAATAAATTCACACACGAAGTTCAAACTCTGGGTTTACGTGTTTGTTCGCTTATGGCTCGTGAACGGATGCACCGATTTGCATCAAACTTGGCATGCTTATTTATTGAGACGAGGGAGGGGGTCATATGACAGTTAGAACCCTGGAAAAATGTCCTGAGTTCGATTACCGCTAAGCGTGTTTCCCGCAACTCGGAAACTAAGCACGATACCAGAATGGAGTAAGTCGTTCGCTTCAAAGGGGACACGCCGACCATAAGACGCTTTCAGAAGACGCCCCTTTCGATGCATTTGAACATGCGGATGCCACTGGAAGTACCTATGAACATGAAGTTGGAAAAGCGACGCTAAGCATCGCGACGCCTCCAAAATACGACACATTAACCATAGGTAAACTTTCGGGGGTAATTGGAAACGACGCTGGAAAACAGGCGCCGAGCGTCGTTACACCGCACGTCACGACGCCCCCAGAAGAGGAGGTCATATGTACATCGGAATGCTTTAAAGAATTAAGTAAATAATCCCCCTTGAAACGCAACTCGCAATTCAAGTTATGAAAGAAATCGCGAAGATTATCGGTTCTCCCACGAACTCAAGTATCGCGTAACTCGAGCTGCTTAAGACAGGATCGCCTTACCTCATGGCACGCGCCATCTTCTCGTACGTCATCCTGGGGTTGCCATGGCGCCGGCCCCAGAGCCGGGCAAGCCAGTCCGTGTTCAGGATACGAAAGATCCCCTCGTCGCGTTGCACCCAGTGGATGCAGGGAGAGTTCCTGGGGTCCTCCAGCAGGTTGAGCAGGAAACGCCACAACATGACGCGCTCGATGCGACCCCCTGAAACGTTTGCACTTTGAAACACCCAGATAGCATTTAAAGATCCGGTTCCTACCGCGAAGAAAACACAACGCCTCACCATTACAAAGATCAGCTGGTTAACGCTGTTTAAGGAAATAATCGCAGATTACCTTCGTCAACTTTTCTATCGGTTTATACGGTGCTACTCGCTTCCGTGAGAACGTGAAATTTCTCATTTGACTCGTTTCTGGAAGGCGACCGAGTGCTTCTGATGTCTCCTTAACATTCATCACAACCTTCTAGTGTCATTCGCGTGCTCTGTCCATCTAACAGATCTGTAAGTTGTCCCATTATGTGAGAAAAGTAATGCAAAATCTTTGTCCAAGGAAGCTAAAATAAATCAACCGATTGCATTTGCTTCTGTTCATGAGTTTACTCAGTCACTTCCTTCAGTAATCTCCACAAGTGTACAGTCTCCTTAATTCAAGCCCATTACATGATCTTCCGAAGTTATAATAAACAGGTAAATAAATTGTTTACGTAACCTTTTAAAGTCGAAGCTGTCCTAAATAAATTCACACACGAAGTTCAAACTCTGGGTTTACGTGTTTGTTCGCTTATGGCTCGTGAACGGATGCACCGATTTGCATCAAACTTAGCATGCTTATTTATTGAGACGAGGGAGGGGGTCATATGACAGTTAGAACCCTGGAAAAATGTCCTGAGTTCGATTACCGCTAAGCGTGTTTCCCGCAACTCGGAAACTAAGCACGATACCAGAATGGAGTAAGTCGTTCGCTTCAAAGGGGACACGCCGACCATAAGACGCTTTCAGAAGACGCCCCTTTCGATGCATTTGAACATGCGGATGCCACTGGAAGTACCTATGAACATGAAGTTGGAAAAGCGACGCTAAGCATCGCGACGCCTCCAAAATACGACACATTAACCATAGGTAAACTTTCGGGGGTAATTGGAAACGACGCTGGAAAACAGGCGCCGAGCGTCGTTACACCGCACGTCACGACGCCCCCAGAAGAGGAGGTCATATGTACATCGGAATGCTTTAAAGAATTAAGTAAATAATCCCCCTTGAAACGCAACTCGCAATTCAAGTTATGAAAGAAATCGCGAAGATTATCGGTTCTCCCACGAACTCAAGTATCGCGTAACTCGAGCTGCTTAAGACAGGATCGCCTTACCTCATGGCACGCGCCATCTTCTCGTACGTCATCCTGGGGTTGCCATGGCGCCGGCCCCAGAGCCGGGCAAGCCAGTCCGTGTTCAGGATACGAAAGATCCCCTCGTCGCGTTGCACCCAGTGGATGCAGGGAGAGTTCCTGGGGTCCTCCAGCAGGTTGAGCAGGAAACGCCACAACATGACGCGCTCGATGCGACCCCCTGAAACGTTTGCACTTTGAAACACCCAGATAGCATTTAAAGATCCGGTTCCTACCGCGAAGAAAACACAACGCCTCACCATTACAAAGATCAGCTGGTTAACGCTGTTTAAGGAAATAATCGCAGATTACCTTCGTCAACTTTGTTGGTTATCTTGGCTGGTCTGCCTCGCTTCTTCTTGGTCGGCATCACCACGGCGGTCAGCAGCTTGCCTCCGGCAGTGCTGCCCCCTGAGACGTGCTGGGGGTTGGGCGTGTGGTCCGTGTGTGACAGCTGGGAGATCGCCCGCTCTATGGCGGGCGGTAGGACTTGCAGTCGGAGGAGAGGCAGCAGTTCTGTGAACAGGTAATTTAAAGACGCCGTATCAACTGAGGGAGTACACAAGATGATGAATTGGAACTAATTTCTGACGGTGACGACTCTGGTAGTAGGAAATCCAGACGAAGCTGTGCCGAGCTTTTTAAGTGTTAATGGCGAAGTCTTCCGAGTTCATGGTTTTATCAGGCGGCTGGAGTTTAACGTCAGAGTTCAAGATTCTCAAACCGTTTTTTATCTAAGAGGAAGTTTTTCACGAAAATACATCGCACGAGAAACAGAGAAAAGCTCGGCGTGATGATTGTGTTTGCACTAATCGCTCGACTACAAAGGGGAAGTCGCCTCGTGCCGACGAGAGCTTCGGCCGGCCGGCCGGCCAGCCGATTAGGCCTTCCGCCACAGCGAACGGGGCAGGACGTTCGGTTGTCCGCATGCTTTTGAAGCCAACGCCAAGTAACTAACTCCGTGTAGCCAGAGAGGCCCCTGACCACACCTTAGCTGACACCAACTTTAATATTATCCTACATCTGGTAGAGTGACTGGCGAAGGCCTGAACTACCGCGGGTTCATTTTGTGCCTCAATGTCCTGAGCTTCACAGTGACGGCTCTCTGTCGCCTGGTGCGAAGGTTAATAATGCGTGGAGCTTTTCCTCCACTCCAACCTACACCCTCATGGCACGTGCCAGAAGAACTTCGTCTTCAAGTTGTGTTTTCAACACCAGCCGATGAACATTTCTGCCCGTTATTTTCACGGCAGGCGTGCATAATGAGGTCGCCGTTTTAGATCGATCGATTATGAAATTATTTAACGACGATTTACCAACTGCGTAGGTTGTATAGTGGCGAAAAGAGATGTGAAAATAACAGCGAATGATGACAACTTGGAACAAGGTTGTCGTGGCCTATTTGAGAAATTATGCGACAAGAAACTTGGTGATTGGCCCAAGTCAGCGAGAATTGGAGCCGTGTTTCGGTATGAAGGTTTGGAGGTTGTGATGGGCTGGGCATGTAGCTAGGATTCCGAACCTAGAGGAATGCATACAGATTTTTCTTTAGTCAGAACTTCGGACACCTAAGTGACGGAGGAGTTTGATAACATTAAGATGAATCGCGGTGCGAGGTATCGGGGGCGTTTGAAGCTGACCTAGTGGGCATTGTGTCCAGTGGCGGATTTTGGTTTCACGAGAGGTGGACCGTCTCATCCTGTCAGTTCAGTTCGGATTACGCTGTTCAGTGAGTCACAGCGCGTACTTTGGCGCCGGACGCGCTGACAGGAAGTCATCGCGTGCACGGCTAGCCTCGTCTCTCTTCGGCTTCCAGTCTTGACGTCCACACGTCGTACGAAAGGGCGTACGTATCGCAGGCAAATTTAATCAGTCAGTACGTACGTAGATAAGAATTGTTGCAACATTATCGACCTTACTTACGTGTATCACAAAGGAAAAAATAAGGTGATAAATATTACTTGCAATGATTTCAGTGCTTTGATAACACAATAATTCTTCAAAGCCTGTTCCCAACTCTTTCAAGGTCTGGGCTATTCCGAGGCTAAATTACGTAGATGGCTAATCCATCGTTCACGTGGTCAACGAAGAATGTGCTTATCGCTTGGTCTGTGTCCTAAGAGGCCGCTCTTCTGTATAGCACTGGAGACTGCACGCACCCGCGAACTTCTGAGGTGTGTGCAATAATTATTTCTTCAATGCTCGCTCCTTAAATCCTGCCTAATGAGAAATATTTTAACACTTTATAACCACAGGATGGCCCAATAATACGTATACAAACATTTAATAAACTCAATCAGTACGCATGTCAGCATTGGCACTTGGTGGGTTAGCGAATACAGTGTGGGTGTTCAGAACGACCACCGTCAGCTTCTTCGTGGCACAGCTGACAGCGGCGAGCGACCGATTGTCAAGTGGCCATCGAATTTCCTTCTGGGAAAACTTCTGATGTGGATTCTGTGTTGAGATAAACGGATTTAAACGGAAGGCTTGATCGTAAGTCCTCGCCCGAACTTATCTGTCGGCGTGTTTAATAAATATTCTCATTCTTTATCAGTGCTTCTGTGAGCGTGTTGATACTTTATCGTATTCTCTATTGGGAACGCGAATCAGCCGGGCCTCGTCCACACAGCTCACACTTCCGTGTACGTGGAGTTCTCGGAAGCGTGAGGTGATCGATTCTTATTTGTAACCACGAAACAAATCATTAGATAGCGTAAAGCCAGATTACTGCCGTGACTCTTACGGAGCTACTCCGTGGTCTTCTGAAAAGACTTTCTCCTCTAGGATTCTCCGTGATGTTTCAATATTGTTATTTTGTGTACGTACGTGTTCTTTTCAAGTATTTCTATAACTGTATACAAAATTGATAATTACATTTTTAGTTCTGCAGTAATCATATTTATCCGTGCATCTCTGGATGATTTCTTTTGCCTTTGAACTATTCTTAGTTGGATTTTAAGTTTTCACGGAGGTGAAGATGGCTGTCTTTTGGGTCTTCGCGTCGTGGAACTTTCCCGACGTTTCAGAGGTCCTTTCTGCCTCCATCATCACCCTGATGATGGAGGGAGAAAGTACCTCTTAAACTATTTTGCCGTTGTTTCACTTAAGAATTATTCTACAGTGTGGCGGCCATGAAACTATTCGAGGTTAGCGCAGCGTTAGATCTTTCCAAATGATAATTCTGAAATCACGAACTCTGATCAATTAATTATTTTCAGTATACGAGTTTTTTAAGATTTTCACACTTCTGCGTAAAAAGTGTTGTTTATGAGAAGTGTCGCTGGCTTACTATTTTCGATGAAGAGGATATTTTTTCTATCAGATTAGACCAGAAGTATTTCAGATAAAAACTGTAGACGACAATGAAATCGATTGCATTGTGATCGAAGAATTGCCGTTGATAAGAGCTTCTTCTCTGAAATCAGGCAG